TCCACTGTTCCCAGGAGGCCCTCAGCTTAGATTGCTCAGGCAAAAACCATGGGCTGTGGCTGCACAGGGCCTAATGACAGGGCAGCCCACAACATAAGCTGCACAACATCTGGACCTTTGAAGGCCCATCTGCCCTGCACAGTATTCTCATTTATGGAGCCTGCGCCTGTCCCTTAATGTACAGTTGATGTTGTTGAGCCTGAGCAGCAGCTGTGCACACGGAGCATCATTCCCATTTCACAGATGAGGAAACAGGCTCAGAGGGGAACTTGCCCAGGGTCACCTAGTCATTCAGTGAGTGGTGGGTGGGAGGGGGGGACTCCGCATTCATACCCAGGTCTCCAGACCCAAGAGCTGATGCACTCTCCAGCCCTCCCTCCAGGCTCCCTGGTCCTGTGTGACCCAAGGGGCAGAATTGGTGCCTACGAGGGGAAGTCCGAGGCACGTAAGACCTTCTTCCCTGTTGGAGCCCTGAGCTTTCTCAGGAGGTAGTGGGCATCAAAGATGCTTCCCAGGGCCCCTCCCCTCTGTGGATTCTGAATGCTGGCGGACATGTCCAAGACACTCCTGCCAGCTTTCCTTCTCTGGGCGGCCCTGGGCCCAGAGAACAGGGTGTCCTGGTGGCCATGGGCATCTCCTCTGCTCGGGTGTGGGTGTAGATGCTTTGGAGTGATTCATTGCCTTAGGGAGATAGAGGGAAGGTCAGAAGCCCTGGCCAGCTGGGAGGGAGCACAGTGCTGGAAATGGCTGGCATGCAGAGGAGATGGAGAATAGCCTGGAGGCCTGGACACAAGCTGCCCTGTTCAGGATAGCTGTCTGAGACTCTGGAAGACACCATTTTGTCAGACTGGGATGCAGACCCATTTCCCTCTCCTAATGGGGTGGGTGTGTGGGGCAGCTTCCCCAGGGGCGGAGGCTTCTGAGCTTCACTTTGAAGGTTTGGCTGTGTGTGAAATGGCAGAGAAGGGCTTTCCAGGTGGAGGCTACAGAGTGTGCAAAGGCCCAGTGGGATGAAAGTGCAGAGTGTCCGTGGGCAGTCACAAGTGGTGTGGGCAGTGGGGGCTCAGCTGGACAGGACGGGTCTCTGGGACATGCAGGAAGAACAGCTGAGGGCCAGCCCTTCCTGTGTGACCCTAGTGCTTCTTCCCCAGAAAGGTGTGTTCCAGCTCTCCAATGAGGACTACTTCATTGAGCCCCTGGATGGTGCCCCGGCCCGGCCTGGCCACGCCCAGCCCCATGTGGTGTACAAGCGTCAGGTCCCGGAGAGGTTGGCACAATGGGGTGATTCCAGTACTCCAAGCACCTGTGGGGTGCAAGGTATGCTCTTCTGCTCCCAGTTCTCGGGTGGGTGCTGGGCCTGGGGACATGAAGGGGCCTTTCTAGAAGCCCCTCTTAACATCCCCATGCCCAGTGCCCCTTAGACCAGGGGACACAGATAGACAGACGGATACATCACCATAGCCTGTGCCCTTAATTGTGCCACAAGACTGTGTCCTCTGCTTTTCAGGCCTGCCCCAGTCAGTCTGATCTCCTTCGCTCCGTCTCACCTCCTTCTCCCACCTTGGGGCTCAACCTCCCTCTGCTCCCTCCCCCCCAACAGCCTATGGCACCTGGCTCTGCCAGCCATTCTTCCTCCAGTGCCCAGCTCCAACAGGGCCACTAGCCAGGAACCTCCCTCCCTCCGCCACCCTGCTCCCACCCTAGAATAACTACCTCTATTATTGGGAATTGGAGTGTGGTACCCAGTGCCTCCTCAGCAGAGCAGCAGTAGTGCTGGCCAGTCCAGGTGAGGAGCTGCCTGCTAAGGGTTGCTAGGGTTTGAGGAATGTTTGGCTGGCATGCCAATCTCAAGTTGCCCACAGCTCTGGTCCTCTATTTGCTGGAGCACATATCCACGGAAGCATGCTTCTTGGCCTCAGTTTCCCCAGCTTCATAGATGTGCATCCTCTTCTGATCTGGAGCAGCCTGGGTCAGGGGAGCAGGCCCGGTAGGGCCAGCTGGGCTGGATCTTGGCCAGCTTCCTCAGGCTGGGGTTTAGAGGGTGAGGTCAGCCTGTGTTGGGATGTACTAACCCCCCAAGAGGGGAGGAAGTGACACACGGAGATAGGGGCTCAGGTGCCAGCTTTGTCAGGCCCAGGAGTTCCCCTCCCATGGACACAGTACTTTACTGTGTTTATATCCACCATTTCATTTGCCCTTTGAGGTCCCCCTGTGAGGCAGATCAACTTATTCCTGTTTTTAGTTAGGGAATCTCAAGATGAGAGAAGGAAGGTGACCAGGCAGAGCCACACAGCACAGATCTGGGGCAGAGCCAGGAGGAGAATTCAGGCCCCTGGCCTCTGATCTCAGTGTGGTTCCCAGTGCCCCAGAGAGAGCTCACTGGGGAGAGGCCCTGGAGACATGTGCCCTGGGCCAGTCTGCTGGCAGCTAACCCCACCCCATCTGGACCTCCAGTGTCCCCGGAGCTGGAGCCTCGACGGGAGCGTTGGGAGCAGCGGCAGCAGTGGCAGCAGCCACGGCTAAGGCGTCTACACCAGCGGTCGGTCAGCAAAGAGAAGTGGGTGGAGACCCTGGTGGTAGCTGATGCCAAAATGGTGGAGTACCACGGACAGCCGCAGGTTGAGAGCTATGTGCTGACCATCATGAACATGGTGAGTCTGTGTGGGCCAGGAGTGGGTGGAGGGGATAGTGTTGGGGGATGGGGGTGCAAAGAGTGGGTGCAGGGCAGGAAGGCTGGCAGGCTGGACCCCAGACCCAGGTCCAGGCCCCGAGCAGGAAGAAGGGTATCCAAGCTCCTGAGGCAGGAAGGGGTGGGGGTCTTGGCAGCAAGTCACCATGAGAGAGCCTGGACAGAGGCTGCTGTGGGGACACCACAGGGTGTCATGCCACCGGGAGGGGGAGCGGGAGCGGGAGACTGAGGCTGCCACAACTCTGTGCCTGCCTGGGGGCTCATAGACTAGTTGGTTCATTCATGCTTCCCTGCACAGATACCTCCTTCCTTTGTGTCAGGACCTGTGCTAGATGCTGGAAACACAGAAATGCCTGATCAGACCACACTCTGCCTGAGACCCTGCATGAGACATCAGCACACATTACAGCTGGAAGGATCTGTGCAGTTCTGTGGTCACTAGCTGGCAGCCTTGGGCAAATCACTTGCCCTGTCTGAGTCTCAGCCTGCTCATCTGTGAACTGGGCATGACGACAGTACCTTGTGGGGTTGGCAAACTGCTTTTGACCCCATATGATGGATGAGATATCAGAGGCCTTGAGAGGACAAGTGACTTGCCCAGGTCACACAACGAGGCAGGGTAGAGCCAGATGGGAGCCCAGGTGTCCTAAGTCCCACCGGGGGAACTGTGGCTGATTGCAGCTGGTGATTCCTGGAGCCGACTACTGCAGAGCTGCCACTCCCTGCTCCTGCCCTTTGGGTGCAGGTGGGAGGCCTCAGGCTTCAAGCTGCTTCCTGCAGCCCCTGGGAGGAAAGATCTCTGCTCCTGGCATTCTTAGCAGCCACCTGGTGGGCAGGCCACCATATAACCATGTTTCTCTCCTGGGCTGGGTGGTTGGGGGCAAGGTAAGGGTGTGTGCTGTGAATAGGATGACATCTAAAGGAGTCCTGGGGCCAGGATCCTATGCTGCTGCTTCCCCCTGCCAGCCCCACACCTCCTGCAACCCTAAAGGAAGTACCCTCTGAGATCATCCAGTGTCTGGCCCCCTAGTTTATCACTGTGAAACCTGAGGCTCAGACAGAGGAAGGGACTGCGTCCAGGGCTGTTCTCTCTACGTGCTGACCACCACATCCCCACTACTTGAGTTCTCATCAGCAAATGCAGCTCTGGGCCAGTTCTTCCCTGACTGGGACACCCTCATTGGCTCCCTGTTCCATATGGAATAAAAGTCACAGCCTTCTGCCTGGCATTTGAGGCCTTGAAGGCCCAGATCAAGCCTCATCTGCCTAGGGAGGGAAGCCACTAACAGCCAGGGTTCAGCAGGGCTATTGCTGGACAGCAGGGCCTGGCCCCTGGGCTATAGGGGTGGAGCAAGGGGCAAGGCCAAGTTCTCAGGCCTTGAGGTTCCCTCCTTCTCATTCTCAGCACTTTGGGGGCTCAGCCTGAAAGACCCAGGAGGCTGGCTGGAGCCACTGATGATTAACTGGGTTCATTTCACACCTGCTTTTCTGAGTGTTCTCTGTGCTCCAGATTCTGGGCAAAGTAAGACCCACCTGAGCGGGTGTTGTGGTTCACGGCTATAATCCCAGCACCTTGGGAGGCTGAGGTGGGCAGATCACTTGAGGTCAGGAGTTGGAGACCAGCCTGGCCAACAAGGTGAAACCCCATTTCTACCAAAATACAAAAAATAGTTGGATGTGGTGGTGCACACCTGTAGTCCTAGCCACTTGGGAGGCTGAGGTGAGAGGATCTTGAGCCTGGGAGGCGGAGGTTGCAGTGAACTGAGATGGCGCCACTGCACTCCTGCCTGTGTGACACAGCGAGACTCCATCTCAAAAAAAAAAAGACCCACCCAGCCCAACAGGTGCCCCATGACTTAACCTGGGTGACAGGATTCAGGTGTTTTTGCCCCCCAGGGCCTGGCCCCTTCCTGGCTGCCTTGCCCTGGCTCATAGGACCCACGCATTCACTTGGTGAGCCCCATCCCTGGGGAGAGGGTGGGCCTGGTTCTCACACTCACCTGCTCTGACAATATCAAGCTTTTCTGAGCTGGTGAGCCCAGCATTGGTCAGATATTCACAAGGCTCCAGCCCTAACCCACCAGGGGTTGGGGGCACCTTTGAGCCTGACAGTGCTGGACCCCCTAGGAGGCTGTAGGGATGGCAGGGACATGGGAACCCATGTGGCCAGCCTCTGAGGACGGCTGTATTGTGGGCTGAGGCCCTGGTGGGTTAGGGCTGGAGCCTTGTGAATATCTGTCTACCTTTTGTCCAATGCCCAACACCCAACACCTCACCTAAGCCTCACCCCCATTTTATTTATTTATTTATTTAATTTATTTATTTTGAGATGGAATTTCACTCTTGTCGCCCAGGCTGGAGTGCAATGGCACGATCTCAGCTCACTGCAACTTCCTCCTCCTGGGTTCAAGTGATTCTCCTGCCTCAGTCTCCCTAGTAGCTGGGATTACAAGCGTGCCCCACTACGCCTTGCTAATTTTTGTATTTTTAGTAGAGAGGGAGTTTCACCACATTGGCCAGGCTGTTCTCCCTGGCTCATCCTCCCAAAGTGCTGGGATTACAGGCATGAGCCACTGTACCCGGCCCTCATCCCCATTTTCGAGTTGAGGGAACAAAGATTCAGAGAAGTCAAGGGGCTCGCTCAAGGTCACACAGCTAGTAAGTGGTAGAGCTGGGACTGGAACTCAGGTCTGTCTGCCTCCAAAGCCCCATTCTGTCTCCTGTGCCCCTTAATCTGCCCTGGAGAGGGGCAGACAGGGTGGGCCAGAAGGATGGGGAACAGATGTTCCCTCGGGATCAGATGTTTATTTAAGACTGACTTGTTGAGAGCCATCGCTCTACCCGGGATAAAGTGATGGATGTGGAAGAGCACAATCCTGCACTTGGGGACTCTGTCTCATTGTAGCATTTCCCAGGGAATATTTCAGGGAATGTGTTCCAAAGAATGCCAGTAGTGTACTGTGAAAAAAGATGCTGTTGTTGAGTCAGTTTGGCCACACAGGGTTAAAAAAAGTAAAACAGGCCAGGCATGATGGTGCACGCCTGTAGTCCCAGCTACTTGAGGGGCTGAGGTGGGAGGATTGCTTGAGCCCAGGAGGTCGAGGCTGCAGCTGGGCTGCAGTGAGCCGAGATCATGCAACTGCACTCCATCTTGGGTGACAAAGTGAGACCCCGTCTCAAAAGGGAAAAAAAGGTAAAACAGACTTCTTTACTACAGGACTTCTCAGAGCCCTCAAAATAAATATGCATTGAGAATCCCCAACAGAATAGGCAGGCAGCATTCCCCAAATTTAAGAAATAAGTAGGGGCTTTGAAGCAGCGAAACCTGGGTTCTGAGCCCAGCTTCACCCTCTCTTTGAGCTTCAGTTACTTCATTTGTAAAACGAGGATAATTGTGCCTACCTTAGAAGTAAGAAGATTAAATGAGATAATGCATGCTAAGCCCCCAGCACAGGGACTGTACATGTTAGGCTCATTCAAGGTTGGCTGTGGCTATTTTTTTGGCTGCTGCAGTATTTGACCCACAGCCACCTTTAGGACAGCCACACCTTTCTTTACCAACGCTACCTACAGAGCCCAATGTATCAGTGTTCTCCCTGTGCTAGATTCAGACCTGAGTCCTAGAGCTTGGGTGGGTCTGTCCCAAGGATAGCAAGACAGGTCCCTTTTCACCCCATTTTCTTTCTTTTTTCTTTCTTTTTTCTTTCTCTCTCTCTTTCTCTCCCTCCCTCCCTTCCTTCCTTCCTTCCTTCCTTCCTTCCTTCCTTCCTTCCTTCCT